GGATAAACACTGCCTTCCACAGTGTATTGTAGAGGGATAGGGGATAAGAACAACCTGCCACAGTGTATTATAGAGGGAGAGGGGATAAGCACAACCTGCCACAGTGTATTGTAGAGGGAGAGTGGATAAACATAATCTTCCACAGTGTATTGTAGAGGGAGAGTGGATAAGCACTATCTTCCACAGTGTATTGTAGAGGGAGAGGGGATAAGCACAACCTGCCACAGTGTATTGTAGAGGGAGAGTGGATAAGCACTATCTTCCACAGTGTATTGTAGAGGGAGAGGGGATAAGCACAACCTGCCACAGTGTATTGTAGAGGGAGAGTGGATAAGCACAACCTGCCACAGTGTATTGTAGAGGGAGAGTAGATAAACATAACCTGCCACAGTGTATTGTAGAGGGAGAGGGGATAAGCACAACCTGCCACAGTGTATTGTAGAGGGAGAGTAGATAAACATAACCTGCCACAGTGTATTGAAGAGGGAGAGTGGATAAGCACAACCTGCCACAGTGTATTATAGAGGGAGAGTAGATAAACATAACCTGCCACAGTGTATTGTAGAGGGAGAGGGGATAAGCACAACCTGCCACAGTGTATTGTAGAGGGAGAGGGGATAAGCACAACCTGCCACAGTGTATTGTAGAGGGAGAGTGGATAAGCACAACCTGCCACAGTGTATTGTAGAGGGAGAGTAGATAAACATAACCTGCCACAGTGTATTGTAGAGGGAGAGTAGATAAACATAACCTGTCACAGTGTATTGTAGAGGGAGAGTGGATAAACATAATCTGCCACAGTGTATTGTACAGGGAGAGTAGATAAACATAACCTGCCACAGTGTATTGTAGAGGGAGAGTGGATAAGCACAACCTGCCACAGTGTATTATAGAGGGAGAGTAGATAAACATAACCTGCCACAGTGTATTGTAGAGGGAGAGTGGATAAACACTACCTTCCACAGTGTATTGTAGAGGGATAGGGGATAAGCACAACCTGCCACAGTGTATTGTAGAGGAAGGGGGATAAGCACAACCTGCCACAGTGTATTGTAAAGGGAGATATAAATATGCTATCACTTTATAGTATTAGTGACGAAATAGATTTTTCTGATAGCAGCAGTGCGGACAAAGATTTTAATCAAATCGTGTTATTCCTAATTTTCACCTGCGGATATGTTATAAATAAACATATCTTAATATATATTTTAATTTCATTGGAGAAATATGCTCTTGCTGATATTGACCAAAAAGACATACTAACATATCTTATTTAGAGTAACCTTTTTCTCATTGATTATAATTCAATTGGATTAATGTTTATCTGAACAGCACGGTTCAAGACATCGATACGAAAGCGTTTGAAACATAAGGACCCGATCATGTCGCTGTTTCCTGTTTAGACAAGCTGTACACTATATCCAGCCTTCAATGAACACTCATTTATTTCGTTCTCAGTATATTTCATCTTAAATGTTCTTTTCTCCACGTGGACACGTGCTTGTAGTGACGTTTATATAAGGACATGAAGCCGTCATTATTGTATAACGTAGCGTGCATCATAATTGAAAAAGTTTTGTATGAAAGAAATCCATGAAAGATGCACTCGACTACATCAGTCTGAACTGATAAGCAGTTTGAAATACATAAATGTTTATAGGTACTACATGTCAGAAGTCATAAGACATTCATTTTATTGAAGCTCAATCGTATGATAAAAAATCATTAAGCGAATGTCATGTTTAATATTTGGATGGCTTTGTGAAATTTTCCTTAGAAATTAGCTAAAGCACTCTTATCAGGGCCTCTAATTTCCATTCAAATGAAACATCGCCGGGAGAATCGTGCGGTTTATTCTTACTATAACCGTCAGAATCGTATTGTGTGGAACACGATTTGTTCCAGGTGGCTTCGAACGTTTACAGACGACAGCTATTAACGTAGCCAATGGATTGCGAAACAGGTATATATATATAGTCGAACCTCATTAATTCGAAGTCGGCGTGACCACTGGAAAACTTTGAGTTATCCGAGTTTTCGAATTAGGAGAGAAATTGAATGTTTGGTGGAACGTTTGTCCGGGACAGACGAAATACATCGAATTAAATGTGGTCTCCGAGTTAAAAAAGTTCGAGATAAAGAGGTTCTACTGTACATGTAATTATTTGTTAATAATAAAGTGATATAATTATGTTAAATATCAAAATCAATAGCCTATTTGCCGTAGGATAGATATTTTTAATTCATTATATATTTGACGCATGGAGTTTACCATTCAATCTGAACCAACATCAGTACAAACAATGAAAAGTTTTAAAGATTTTTATCGTTTGAATAAAAAGTAACATTCAACGGAATGGAATAAAATAACAATATATACCTTATATATACGATCATTGTGTAATAGATTTCTACAAACAACAAGGTTTGGAGTTGATTTCAGTGCTTCTCACATTGATTACATAACTCATAGATAATATGATAAATTTAATTTTTTTCTCTCATTTTCTTTAACTGCTCCAACCACCTCATCATGATATCATTAATTTCCGTAATCTATTCTAAAACTAGTCAATCGACATCATCTTCGGAATAAAACATTCAACAAAACGATATCCTTAACCATACCGTTACAGTGTTTTTATTCATCCTAACCTGCTCTACACAGACACCACCCTAGCACCCTAGGAAGGACCATCGCCCTGACCGCCTACAACCTTGTAATTATTTCAGACGTGTCCGGAGACATATTCAACATGTTTTAGATACACTCTCTTGAGACAGAAAATGAGACATCAGTCTTTATACAATAACATCAAGAAATACCAACATGGCAATATATTCATAATCCAAACTCAAAATATGAACTAAAGAAAGATTTACTCGGAGATTCCTGAAAAAATACGAGAATAAGACATGGTGTTCCGGAATAGTAAAGCGTCTTTTGCTTCATCGATGACACCCGATATAACATGTAAAAAACTCAAATTCGACTAAACGTGGGCAAACTATAAACAATAGAAAGATTCATGAAAAATACAAGGAGGTTAATACCTGGTGTTTGGGAAGGGTAAGCGCATTCTGTTTTCTCTACGACACAAGCCATAAAAATCTTGATCAATCCACGGCATCATATGAGAACAATGCGTCTGTGTTTGTGAGGTGGTAATAGATGCAATGTTCGTTGACGCTGTGATGTGTGTTTGTCTCTTTTGACACTGCCCTATGTATATGTCTCTGTTGACGCTGCATTATTTGTGTATTTCTTTCGTTATGCGTTTGTCTATAATTACTGACTCTATTTTGGGTTGTTGTCTATGATTGCTATCAGTGTAGTGTAGTTTTGTCGGCTTGTTGCCGTTGAAATAGATTCTGTCAATAATACATTTCATGTCGTGGTGGCGTTGTACTTATTTAGCCTGTGCTTGTGTTGCCGATAATGAACGCTATCATTCTGTGTGATTATGTTACCTTACACGGCTAGACATATCATTAACGCTTGCTCAAACAACCAAAAATAATATTTTTTCACTAACTTAACTGCTATGAATGTGTTTTGATGTTATTTATACAGATTTATCCAGTAATGTACAAAGGCGATGATGCGTTGAAACAAAACATACATACACACATATATAATTATCAATACGGATTAAATCCAGGTGCTTCGACCTGCGGAAAAGTAACATAACTGGACGGGTATCTTTTATTGATATTTTCCACATACGTAATGCGGTATGGGAATTTTACCCAAAACCAGAAATGGGGAGTGTGCCAATCTGATGGTTAAGCAGACACGTTCCATCTCTGGTCAAATACTTTTATCAAAGTATCCTCTTCATATTAAATAGTGTGTACAATGATTTATATTTGACCTCAAAAATGATGTTCTGACACTAACGAGTTCTATTTTGAAATGAAATGCGATATTTAGGTTACCGATATACTTCTCAAAGCTCCTAGTGTAGTTTAGGTTATCGGCCTCAAACGCAGGATATTTATGAGGGATGTCAATTTCTTTATATGATAAAACATCCTACTTTGTACAGTCGTGTTCATCATTTAAAAGTTGAACGTATTTCATTATTAAAAAGATATAAAAACTAAAAGTATTAAGGCATTTCGATCTGTGTGACAATGTTCTTTTAACTAATGCATTTACAATATGATTAAGCACGTAGATGAGAGGACAGAGATATTTATGTACTCCTCTGAGTCGTTAAAAAAGGAACTTTTTTCTGATGATGATTTTTTGAAATGTTTGATTTTAGGAAATAGATAAAAGGCAAAACAAAAACAACCCCCTCCCCATTTTATACTATTTTAGAACCAATTTACAGACAAAGCATTAAAACGAGGTTAAGATATATACAGTATAAAATCAATCATTTTCATTCTTAAAAATAGGCAAACAACATATTTTCCACCATTGAAAGAAGTAAGATACATTCATTGGATGTTGAAACTTTGCATTTAAATGATAAACATTTCTCTCTGATTAAAAAAAAATCCGTAACATCGATGATAAAACATTCATGAATTCAAGTACATTGTAAAATAGCCCATTGTTGCACTTCTTGCAGTGAAGTATTTTCATTTATCATGGACAGTTAGAATATTTATCTAATGGCTATTACGATTTTTATGGATGTTTTCAAAGAATTGATTACTCACAAATTGTAGTAAAATGGAATTTGAGAGATGGTGTTCACTTTCGATGTCATCGAAAAACTACTTGTTTTTTAAATAAAATGCTTAAAACCTCAGGGGGATTGTTTGATTGTTGTGACCAATTAAAATAACTAAACTCATGAAAAACCCTCTTCGTATTTACCACCTTGTGCCATATAATTTATGATGTGAAGTTATTAGAGAACAATTTAGCTATCAATCTATATTTCTTACTTTCTGAATTAAGGGGAAAGTGTTCTTTAAGACATTGTAACCTTTTGTTCTTTAGTGTTTATGTAACACTGTAGCATATTCATCGGGATCAATTCCTAGCGCAGGGATGAAGCTGTGGTTGTAGTGTAAGAGGAAGTATTAGATCCTCGGGTGTAGACGTCTGGCAGCCTTGTAACCCAAAGGTCAGTCTCTGGGTCAACACGCCCATGCGTCCTTCCGAAATATCTGATGTTTCTACTGCATCTACACCTGAATGACTCCAGTGTTTTGTAGCGAATAGCTGTACATCCGGCGAATAACGGAAGTAGAAACACAGCAGCTAATAAAACGTATGCTAGAACCCCGTCTGGGCGGATGAAGAAAACTGTTATAGCAATGGCTACGGCGACGACAGAATATATTCCTAGGTGAATAAATGACTTCAGAAAAGGGTTGGACTCCTTGAATTCGCTTTCCACTTGTCTCGAAGGAACCCAATGTACGTGAGCAGATATGTTTGCATGAAATGCTCGAACAATACGCACACATCCAACGATGGCTTCTGGTGTGAACTGCATTAGGGATACAAAAGTTTCCGCAAGAACGAACTTAAAGTTGTATCTTGTACATACCGCAAACTTCGGAAAGACGACGATCAGAAAGAGAATAACGATGATAGGGGTCCATTGGTACCTAAGGTTGAGGTTGACGTGGATGAGAATGTAGACGAGAAGAAAGGGCTTCATCAACATCTGCCGTAGCGGTGAATGTGCAACGTATGATGACACAAAGTCATTTTTCAGAGGAGTCCGTATCTTAGTTTTAACATACTCTTTTCTCCTGAAGATTCGCTGAAGTCCTCTTATGGGTATTCCTACAAACCATTCCCAGAAGTACATTGCGTTTAGTATTTCTCCTCTATTCCATCGTCTTTCCCGAATATTCCACGTGATGTAGTTTAGAGGTGGTTGCTCTGAGAAGGAAACTGCACTGACGTACAGTGGATTCATGACTGTAGCTTCGTATGTATCATGGCTGAGAATATCGATTGGAACAAGTTCGATCAGTTCACCCCTTTTTCCGATCACATTATTTATGTACATGGAGTTACAGATAAGACCTTTGCCATAAAATGAACACCTATCTAACATTGCGTTGATAGCGTTGGTCATAGGTTCGTACAGGGTGTGTCTTGCCATTTCCAAGTACATAAAAACTGTATCCTCTGCTGGAGACAGACATTCCATCGTTACAGAAGGTTGGATAATCCCACGGTCAGGATTCGCGTGCGCAACATCCAAAAGTGTAAATATGATCCCGGCAGGAATTCCAGTGTCACCATCTGCTACTACAGTATAGTCAAACTTCCTTCCACATATATTGTCCACGTCTTTTTGCGGAAGAAAAAGAGGTTCACCCTCTTCACGGGCGAAACTGCCGTAATAGGACGGGTCGCAATATGTGAAAGCAGAACTTTCGCCATTAGACAAAAGCATAAGGTCCTGGTATTGTCCGCATTTTTTCAAAACTCGACTGTTTCTTTGAACCAACATGAACTCCTCGCATCGCGTATCACAAAGTTTTCTTAAAATGTCATTTACAAAGTATGATTTTTCTATATGCTTATACCAAGACCAAAATTTTTCCAGTCTAGTTGGATGTACTAGTCTATAATCTCCTCTTGAAAAGGAGAGTCCTTCGGTGTATAAGACATCGAAGATAAGAACCCTATAGAAATCTCTCATGTAAAATTCATGTTCTCTTAATCTTCTTCCGGAAGTAGCACTAACCAACACAGCCGAAATTGTTGGCGATAGATTTCCCATGTAAGCATCGTACATACACTTAAAACACTCTTCTATATCCTCCTTAGAATGAGCTAAAAGATTGTAGTTAATAATTGCAGATAAGTTACTTCCGTTTCCTGTCATTACTTCCCGTCTATGGCCACCCATGATCAAAGTTGCAATTGTTTGAAGAGGGATCTCTATAACAGTGGCTTGTAATATAGTTACAAAGAAAACCACTGCAATCCCCGTGGCCAAATCGGAGGTTTCCCAAATTATATTGAGTACATTTAAAGCACATATAGCCATAGAGACAATCATCCATGACAGAAAATAAATAAGCATTCGATGGTTCTTCATTTCTAAAACTCATGCTGATATCACAGATAACGTTATCACAGAACTTTGCTTGTAGACCGATGAACTTATCAAACAGTTACTCATTTTGCTTTGTCATATGGATATTTTCTAGGTTAAAAAATGTTTAGAAAAATACTTCTTCGTTCTTTTCTATTAAAAAACCCTTACCTTGGGGTGTGAATTTAATATCTCATCGTTCATATCATATTCCTTATTGCCTTCCACGAAGTCGAAATAAACCATGCATTTGCATGTATTTGTTTGGAGAAGCTGTCACTTAGTTAGAAGTATTACTCCTATATGACGTACATTATACATCACACGGAAGGTGCTCAATACGTCAGCAAAGTTCCTTTGTTTGAAATGACTCCTGCTTCGAAAGTAGATATAAACAGCACTCATATATTGTAACTCAAAAGTTTGAGGAAACAAATTTCAAACTTGATTTCGAAAATATTTTTTGTCTCTATTTCGAACTATCGAGTAAAATGCACATTCATTCACAATATTGTTACCGATAAATGCTGATCTAACAGCACTTTGTTAAACTTTTCTGTTCCGAAACGATGAGACAAGATATAGTACCGAACAAGTGACTGTAATTTAGATCATTCCTATATTTATATAGTACTAAGGCTGATTGATAGACACAAGTTTTCATGAAATATTAAGTTAACAAAAATAGTACTGACTAAAGAATTTAAGTAATGTGATATACAAATTTATCATAATATATGAAATAAACAAAAGATCTTTAGTATATTTCTTATGTTGACAGTAGTCTAACGTGGTGGGCGTGCCCCTTTTCCAACAATTTCAGTACCCTTTCATTTCGCCGATCATTTATTAGAATACCGTCCGAAATGTTCCGATAAGAATGCCACAGCGGTTATATCTGATTGGCTAGAAGTCCCTGACTACCGACCAGTTGCGAACCTATCAGACAATGCTGTGTTACTACCTACCTGAAGATCTCTATTGTATTCAATATATATATATAGCCAGAAACCTAATAGGAACATTACCTACATCCAACAAAACGACAATGGCACTTTTGTGTTAAATATTTAACCAGGTGAACATATTCATTTCGTTGTTTAATTCTTATTTCCTCACTAAATACCTTATTTTAACATGCACAGACCTTTCAGAGTGTTTGATATAAAATTAATGACAGTAAATGAAGTATGACAGTGGAATTTCGTGTCTTTTTACAGGGCCAGGAGATCCGTTATCGTTATTACTATAACGACCTCGGTATATTTGATCAAGTGTACCTGATTTAACCATTTAAATAAAAATAACACCTTTTAATACTTAAATAGATTATAAACTGCATCACACAGCTAATTCGTTCTCCTGGGACTCGTCAATAGTGCTTAAATGTAGAAGACGAGTGAGTAGAATTTCAAAGTGATCGAGAAATAAAATAAAGATGGGGATGTGCACTGGCCTCATTGTTCAGTCAATTTCGTGATAATATGTTGATATTCTGTACTGTCACTATCATAGAAACCCCATACTTAAATCAAGATATGACTGCATCTTCTAACAGACTATCTAAAATGGCTATCATTTTAAAACATTGTATTCGGGTTAGTAATCTACGCCTGACACTGGTAATTTGTCTGATAAAGGTGACCGTGTAGTCACCGAAACATCACACTATAATCTTCTACTGGACGTATTATAAGAGCTTCTGTTCTATCCTAAAGACGATGTTATGACAGATTGGGATTAATGAAGAACAGTGATATTTTAGTGGTGTCATTGTCAAAGTTCCATTTTAGTTTTCAAATTTTTCTAAAGTGTCTCTCATAGTAATGTTTTCGCTGTCCTTCATCTCGCTTTGATAACGCGAAATTAGTAAAGCAGCGAGTGTCAACGGTGGAGAAAATGTAATATTTTTATAATATTTTGTCCTCGTTTATATTCTGTTGTCATATTCTACGCAAGACACACAGAAGAATGATACTTAATTCGAAGAATTTGTTACTGCAAATGACAAGACGTAGTAAAGTACTAACAAAGCAACAGCATTTTAGATTGACCAAGGTTCACAAGGCTGGTGTCGTCGATGAAGCAGAAATGTTTACTCTTCTGGAACACTTGGTCGTGTTGAATTTGAGCTTGGAACTATGTTGACATGTTGGTATTTTCCTCTTGTTTTTTTAATTATTATTTCTTAACGTTTTTAAAACGGGGTCTTTCATATATGCATTCGTTTCAGTAGTTTTACTGACAGGTTGGCAGAAGTACGAATAAATGGGCTATTGTTCCACTCCTAATCCCATCCCCAGTACCATTTAATAGGTCTAACTGAAATGGAACAGTTCTAATGTGCAAGTCCTTTATGCAAATCGACACGTTATCAATCATATGCTATTTGTTGTCTAGTTAATGTTATTACATCTATTGTATACAATGGTATTCACGCTGAGAAGTAGAAGACCTAAATCTGGCTTACATTTTCTGTAATATCCACTTTATATACAGTAAGTACATGTCTATTGCTTAAGTGTATCTTACAACTGCACATAACTCTGTGCCACAGTAACATTATCCAGTTGACATATGATAATGTTGTGTACAGGGAAGGCTGGAAGGTTACACTACAATAAACAAACACCAGTAACGATAGATATCTCAAACATTTAGACATGCAAAGTATTAATCCACGTAACAACATATTTAAGTGCTCAGGCGACCGAACCGCTGTCATTTTTTTTTTTAAACTAGCTATATCATAATTAAGCACTGAACTGTTGTGTTTATACATGTATGTTATTTAGAGTTGATAGTTATGCAAGCGAACGCTTTAGTGTGTGCAACAATAATTATATTTAAGTTTCCTAAACATGATACTGTATTTTACTGATTATTACTCCGAAAAAAATCCTTACCTTGTCGCCATGCCATTCCTGGATATCACTGGTAATAACGAAACAAGCGGCACAGTTAATGATGAAAGAGCGAGATATCGCATTTCAAAAACATTCGCCTGTTTCTAAGTTATATTCAGAGAAAAATGTGAAAAAAAAAAAAAAAACAAATAAACAACCACAGCGAAACAATGCCGATAATTATTTGCTGCGTAAAGCCACCAACAGACATGTCGGTGAAGGTAGCTTAACCTTTCCCAGACACTACGGATGAGTCGATTGGAAAAATAATCTGTTTCAGTTTTCGGCATCAGACAGCAGAATGGGTAGCGAATGTTTATATGATATTTTAAGGCGATACATACCACATTACTTTAGCGTGACGTCATAAAAAACGGCGACAAAGATTACGTTATCAGCTACCCGGTGTTGGACACGGTACCCAACTGTGACATCTTTAAAAGTTCATTACAGGAATTCCCAATGGCTTCAATCGTTCATCTGCTCTGCAGCTTACACATAAGATTTCGTCAATTTCTTAGGCAATTTCTACACATTTGAAAGAATGTTTTCCGCGCGTGCTACTACACAAATGGCATTACCCCAGACATAAAGTGTAAAGTTCTACCATATCTGACCCAAATGACCATGAAAGTTGGTTACGGTCATTTCTTAAAACACAATTGGAGGTCTTCGTCCCAGTTTGTAACAGGCCCAATATCAGTACCCTGTGCTTTTTAGTTATTGAAAAGAAATCATTTAAAGATTTTAACACATTTGAGTCCTGTGATCTTGAAAGTGGGTGAAGATAACTTTTTTAATCAAACTTGTTGAACTTCATCTCAGCATGATACATTACGAATATCAGCACCTTAGACATTTTTGTTATCAAGAAGCAATCGTTGATCTACTAAACGTAAAGATATATATCTGTCATAGACATAAGATCGTGATATATAATCAGGACGCAAGATACATACAAAAGTATATATTGAGATGACATAACTCTGAATTATTAAAGATGCTAATCATTTGTGTGTCTATGGTACAATCTTTAAGCAATATAATATATATGATACACAGTATGATAATATTATAACATGTTCCAGGGGTGCGGAGAGTATAAGTGAATATAAACCCTGGAGTATAAAGGATGCGACATAGTAGACACCATTTTTCATTACTTTTCAATCATGTAAATCAAAAAAAAAGGAGAGGAACTTCGATGAGAGCAACCGGAAGACAAATTACGCGCCAGTTGAAGTAATGTTGATAGCAACCGGAACCGAATTACGCGTCAGTAGAAGTAGTGTTGCTAGCAACCGGAAGACAAAGTACGCGTCTGTAGAATTAATGTCAGTATTTTATCAATTAGAAGCATGGAAGAAGCCATGCCTTACTATTGATGTTAACTGGGCGAATGGCTTGTCATGTACGGTTTTGCCCGAGAACATTTTTACACCACATATATTGTTGCTAGCATTTCATTCTACATACTCTTCGCGTATGAAACGTTGAGATTCTCTGATAGGCTAAATTACAGACAACGTTGTCGTGACTCCAACATTATACTGACAAGAGATTCAGGGTATCAGATTTTACCAGATAAATAGAAAAAACGAGCTGACGACTAGCTGTTAAGAGCACAAGATGATCGGATGTCTTTATAAAATGAAGATTCTAAATAAGCCACGATACACCATTCATCTGTCTATGTTTTCTTTTTGTATGTAGATCTCGGCTTTAAATAACCACACTAAAGTAGGTCAGCCGTCAAATTACAAAATGTATATCGAGAGGGTCGGGCGATCACAACTTAAACTGTTAGCAGGTAACGAGGCCACCCAGGGGCTACCTTATAGTGTTCTCATTCTGTCTTATATCACAGTCTTATGTCTATGATAAATATATACCCTGATGTACATCACGGTCTTATGTCTATGATAAATATATACCCAGATGTACATCACGGTCTTATGTCTATGATAAATATATACCCTGATGTACATCACGGTCTTATGTCTATGATAAATATATACCCTGATGTATATCACGGTCTTATGTCTATGATAAATATATACCCTGATGTACATCACGGTCTTATGTCTATGATAAATATATACCCAGATGTACATCACGGTCTTATGTCTATGATAAATATATACCCTGATGTACATCACGGTCTTATGTCTATGATAAATATATACCCTGATGTACATCACGGTCTTATGTCTATGATAAATATATACCCAGATGTACATCACGGTCTTATGTCTATGATAAATATATACCCTGATGTACATCACGGTCTTATGTCTATGATAAATATATACCCAGATGTATATCACGGTCTTATGTCTATGATAAATATATACCCTGATGTACATCACGGTCTTATGTCTATGATAAATATATACCCAGATGTACATCACGGTCTTATGTCTATGATAATAATGTGTCATTGCGTTTAATATTTCAATGATTGCTTCTTGTAATATGCTGAGAATGAAGGGTAGCAATTTTGAATAAATAAGTGACCTTGACCCACTTTCAAGACACTTTACAAGTAGTATAGCGTTTGATACGTTTCTGTCTGTTAATGAGCAGCCGATTATGCTAAACGTGTATTTATACGATATTGCCGATGATACGCCGCTGTATCATGCTGAAACACTATTATTTCTGTTCAACGTCAGAGTGTGGTAAGATAGTGTAAAATGCTATTGGTTTTGATGGTCTCTGTAGACCATGTCTGGCCACCGTAAATGTGTTATATAGTCTTGGTAATTCTCTGATTAAAGCAGTATACTTTGCTAAGAATGTATATGGGTTACCTCTGTAATTATGTAGGCATATATATATATGTCTAGGTATGAACTTTGATTAATGGCTTATTTTTTGTCCTGCCTCTTAGAGTGGAAGTTGTATATATTTAGCTAATTACCTGACAAGGGACGTAACCAATCTTCTTCTAGGACACAGGAGAATGGATAAGTCGGTCATGAATGTAAAAGACCTTGACCTCACTCATTGTAGGTTATAGAGTTCTGTACCAGCGTCTTAAGTATCAGGGCAGTGTATTATGATTAAACCAGAACCATACATCCCATCCTCGATACTCCACGGGTTACGATCACTATCTGTCCTGGCAAAATCACAATTGAAGGTATAAGCAACGTTATTTGTTTCTTTCCAGGAGAAAAAGAACAACTGAGTAATCACAGGCTGGAGCAACACCAAACTTCAAATCAATGACAATATACCATTACCGACCTCGGGATTCGTTTGATGTACTTCAAACTAGTCTTTTCGTCTTGTCCACAAAGTGTCGCACATTAAACCGTCAATTTTGCCATGCTATGTCCCAGGGTTGCAGAAAGTGAAAGTGATCGTAACCTTGGAGTACCGAGGATGTATACTTCCCTAGCAGAGGACAGGTTAGACTTTGTAAGAAGTAAAAAAAAATTATATATATATATATGGTGAAATGTTCGTTACATGTAAAAAGTCAAGATTATCTTTAATGCATATCAAATGTAAAGAAATTCCTATTTATTATTTCTTTAATTGTCGATATTTACACAGTAGGATAGCATTGGCTTTAGGTATCCATAGTAACATTTCAGGGTCGTATGATATAATTAAGGGGTAACATATATATATTATATACATATATACCTAGTGTCGAAACAACGCCTTATCAATCTAAGGATAAATTTTCCACCAGACAAAAGGTGAGATAACATCCCTGATATGACGTGGTAGGTTTTGTGTATCAGTCAGGGTGTTACCATAAATACTACTATTGGGATTTGTCTAAACAATTACTCTCTCACTGGCCACACATATATCATTTACAACGTGTATGTGTCAATCAGGGGTCACATCTGAAGAGTAAAAGAATCGATGATGTAATTATACCTAACAAGTCACGAATATCCGAACATCCGGTCATTGCTATCGTTCTTAGAATTTATATTGGGCGTCGATATAGCGCAAGGTTTGGTAATTAAACACTCAACCCATTTTTAAACAAAAATAAATAATTATACTGTTTGTATACTCCATCGGCCACGTGCATCATGTTGCTGGCACGAGATATCGATTGGCAAATGCTTCAGAACGTATCCTCTTGTTACTCCGAGACAAGTTTAGTTTTATTAAGAGAGTATTCGTCTATGGAACATCAACGATTGACTATGAATTACAAACATTGCATTTCTATCGAGTGATATTTGTAATCCAAGAATTACGCGAAAAAAGACAACTGTCATCTGAAAAAAATATAGCAATAATTTGGGAAAACATGTTTTTCTTCCTGTCGCAGAGGACTTGTGAAATATTTGGAAGAAGATGCTATCTTTTTTAAAAACATCCGTCCATGTATATACAACAATGTATTTTATTTGAGGAAATAAAACACACACAGGTAAGTTATTTCTAACTCTCCTTTTCTGTTTGTATTTGTGAAAGTAATTATAACCAGTAATTAAGCAGATGTGCCATGTATAAATCTAGTTTTCTTATCAATATTAGATCGTTGGACTATAATTTGTGTTTAATAGGGTAAATAAAATATAACTTTAACGCCTTGGAGCTTATGTATTTCAAAGACAGTGGACTCATGAGAACTGATATACATTTTCTATAGTATGCTTAGTGTCAGTACATCAGTTAAGTAATTGGTGATATGTAACGCCTTGATATTATATATATGTATTAGTTGAGTGGTTGTTAAATTTCTGAAAAAGATTTCAAAGAAAAGAAATTCTGAGGAGGAAAGAATTTTTATATTTCTGACCTCGAGGGAATGAAAGATTTTGTTACCTTGTCCAATACAAACATCCCTAATCTACACAAAGAAAACGATCTCTAATGTTAACAAAATCACATATCTCTATTACTGACAAAATAACAGATCTGTTACGTTGAATCAAAGATCTCTGTTCTATTACTGACAAAATAACAGATCTGTTACGTTGAATCAAAGATCTCTGTTCTTTCATCGACAGAATAAAAGATCTGTTACGTTGAATCAAAGATCTCTGTTCTACCATCGACAGAATAAAAGATCTGTAACGTTGACCGAATCAAAGATCTCTGTTCTATCATTGACAGAATAAAAGATCTGTTACGTTGACCGAATCAAAGATCTCTGTTCTATCATTGACAGAATAAAAGATCTGTTACGTTGACCGAATCAAAGATCTCTGTTCTATCATTGACAAAATAAAAGATCTGTAACGTTGACCGAATCAAAGATCTCTGTTCTATCACTGACAGAATAAAAGATCTGTAACGTTGACCGAATCAAAGATCTCTGTTCTATCACTGACAGAATAAAAGATCTGTAACGTTGACCGATCATTGACAGAATAAAAGATCTGTTACGTTGACCGAATTCTTTCATCATTGACAGAATAAAAGATCTGTAACGTTGACCGAATCAAAGATCTCTGTTCTATCACTGACAGAATAAAAGATCTGTAACGTTGACCGAATCAAAGATCTCTGTTCTATCATTGACAGAATAAAAGATCTGTTACGTTGACCGAATCAAAGATCTCTGTTCTATCACTGACAGAATAAAAGATCTGTAACGTTGACCGAATCAAAGATCTCTGTTCTATCATTGACAGAATAAAAGATCTGTAACGTTGACTGAATCAAAGATCTCTGTTCTATCATTGACAGAATAAATACGTCTACATGAGTCTTAGGGATCTTATTTTTTGTCAATGACAGAGATCATTTATTTGGTCAACGATAGAGGTTTTTGACAATAATAGCTACCTTCGATTCGGTCAACGTTAGAGATTTTTTATTTTGTCAAATAAGATACCTATTACTTTGTCAACGTTAAAGACTTTCATGTAAGAAGGATTTTAACCTAAATAGAATAAATCTTACCTTGTCAAAATAAAGGATCTCTAATGTTGACCAAGTCAAAGACATTTATTATTTTTCGCATTTCCTTGTTGTTTATGAATGGCTACTAGAGATAGGGAAAAGCGTGTCTTTAAGTAATATCCAAATAATCTCTTAAAATGTGTCGCGTGCATTGAATGTTTTCCAAAATTTGATGATGAAAATAAATTTTAAAAAATGTTTTAGGGATTCATCACTGGCTGTTAATAATAAAGAGAAAAAAAATTAACGATATTACGTAATGTCTTTCAAAACAAGATTTTTTTTTTATTTTGTAGTGATGTTGTTTGTAAAATATTCCTTCACCAATCTTTTCATGGAAATCATATCGGTGATGACACATTTAGCAATTTAAATAAGCGTTCTGTTTAATTTTATTTTCAGAGATAAGGCCACAGGACAAGATAAAGAGAGGGTACGGGACGGAAGACTTTTGATAGTCACATTATGTATAAACAGACGACTGCCTCAAACGGCAATAACATGACGCAGTGAATCAATTGGTAAATAAAACTGATATTATTACGGGTCCCGGTTAGATAGTGTTCAGTCATGAATTTCTTTTTTTTTTCATTTTGTAAATATCGACGAAACACTAAACATGAATACTGAAAGATGATATGCAAATTTAACAAAATGTTGAAAATTAATCGAAACACAACAAGGAAGCTAGTTAGTGAATAGAAACACATTTGCACAGATCATCAGTGTTGTGTAAAGACAAACTATATGTTACTGCTTTTACACCGCAGTTTCGAAAGTGTGAACCGATATCAATGAACTATACACAGTGATATTAAACAACGGGTTCAAAATTTATTCGTGGAATTCTTTCGGTTTGGAGGGAGAATTGGACTCTAATGGGAAAATATGCACGAATAATATTGTATTTTGTGACCTGGATAGCTTTAGCAATCACAGCAGTCATTTTGAATGTTTTCAACATGGATTGGTCCCAAACGAGTATCTTTAATGGCGTTGCTATCGTCCTATTGCTGGGAATCCTTCAAGGGTGTGTCTTGGAATCGCCTGCTCAAACCATTGCAACTTTGATCCTCGGTGGTCACACACGTAAGTTGAAGAAAAATCCGGATTTTGAGCACCTCACTCTAGTTCTCAATTATAATCTTCTTGCAACAAATCGCGAAGAGATAGAGGAATGTATGCAAATGATGTATACGGCTTTCATGGGTAATCTCGCTCCAAATGTGTCGGCTGTTCTCGTCAGCGCGACTGGGGACGAGGAATTAAAAGACTATGAGCTCTTCATGCGTGACGTATACCGCGTCATGATATTTGATGAACTTTACACCGAGGGATTAGCATATGCCCGAGAGGATTATCTCCACGTAGATAAATATAGATTTTTATATGTGTGGCGTCACTTCCGGCACATTGACTCTGTATTTTTTATTCGGAAGTATCTGCATGAAGTCTGTGATAAATACAGCAGGGAGTTTATGCTCGTCCACCGTGTAAGTCGTGTATTACGGAAGTGCGGTCAGTATCAAGACCTCATGCTTCTCTCGGCTGGTATGGATCGAGCTGTCACATATTGTGATCCTAAGTACTACGGAGATTGTGCTAGGGAATTGGGAAAACCCCTTTTTCATGATTCTGACGACGTCAAACGCATTCTTGGTCGGAAATTCGATTACACGCTTGTGTTGGATGGGGACACTGGGGTTCCACCTGGAACTGTTTACGATTTAATGAGAACCGCTGCTGCATATCCCGAGAAAGGCATTATCCAGCCCGCAATTACACTCATATGTAATCGCTGTGACACTATGTTTATGCACTTAGAATCGATGCGACAGTCTATCTCAGAACCAATTACAAATGCACTTACAGATCTCTTTGGACAATCGTCTTACTATGGAAAAGCTTTGATCAAGAATGACATATATATCGAAAAGATTTTATACCACGACGGCAAACTGATAGAGAGTGTTCCGATTGACGTTCTTAGTCACGATACGTTCGAGGCTTCCTTGCTTCATCCCTTATATGCAGGTTCCGTGTCTCTACTAGAGGCACCGTCTTACAACTACGTCACATGGGATATACGAGAACGCCGATGGAACCGCGGGGAGATTCTCAACGCCATGTACTTTTGGGACAACCTATTCGGAAAGCCAATGCGATTTTTACAGAAAATAGTTCGAAGGAAAAAGTTTACACCTACAAAATTAAGGACGCGTTCTGACACAGACTTCATAAGCTCCTATATGTCTCATCTCGCACTGCGACAAATGTGTATGAAACCATTTCTCCTGTTCTTCATCTTACTCAGCGTAAATATATCGCTACACCAAGTCTATCTACCTATCGTTGTGGTTATGTTTTTGATCATCGTTTTCCCTAAATTTGCAACATGTAATAGGAAAAACATCAAGTCAGTCTGTTTCGAAACTGTGGCATCAATATTGCAATTCACACCGGAAGCTGTCGTTGGCTGCGTGCGCATTCTAATGGCATTTTATGCTAATATCGTAACTGGTGTACAGTGGATACCTCAAAGATCAGTTGAAATGGAATTCAAAAGTAAGAACCCCTTTTTATCTGCATTTAGACATTTATGGGGATATTCTACAGTTGGAATTGTTGTAGGGTTTTTTTTAATCGCTTTTCAAGTTGATGCCATGTTCATGTTTCTGATGCTAGTAACAATGGTACTGCTTCCGGTTTTCACAGGAATAACGTCACTTCCGGCTGGATATGTTGCAAAGTACCGCGGCAGGGTAGGCATTGAATCTGATTCGACCCCTTCTACCAAATATGACAAAGGGTTCGTTATCCCCCCTCCTACTAGGAGATTGAATACCCGCGAGAGAGCGCGACCATTTGTCGCCTGGACAGTGCCACTCTCATATGATCTAAGTATTGTTTAGCAAAATATCATATGAAATGTCATGAAGGATATGAACTTATAAACAATGTAGATGTTTATTTTAAAAATGAAAATAATGTTTAAATGTATTCCATCAACACGGGATATGCTGCTCCATATATCATACACCAACTTCATTTCGAGCTTTTAATAAAGTGTCGTAATTATCCACGGAAAACATTTCTCGTTATTCCCTAGATCTACATCTTGTTGATCTTTGTTACTAGTAAGGAAAAAACGGACATATGTATTTTTATTTGAAATGTGTAAGTGTTTGAACTGAATTGTATATGATTTGGCATCCTCGATATTCCTGGGGTTACGATCACTTTCATTCTCTACACCACTGGAACATATCATGGCAAAATTGAAGGCACAAGCAAAGATATTTGATTGGTTCATGGAGAAAAAAAAGACCATTACTTGCTGATACGCTTCTTTTGAAGATTAAAAAAGAGCTACATCCAACTTAGAAGCCACTACAATATACCGTTATGTGACCTCGAGTTTCGTTTGATGTACATCAAAGGATCAAACTAATCTGTTCGTCTTGTCCACAAGGTGTCGCACATGGAACCTTCAATTTGGTCACGATATGTTCTAGGGGGAGCTGAGAGCGAAAGTGTTCGTAACCCCTGGAGTACCGAGGATAAGGATTTGGTATCTACGGAAGCCTTGGAGTACCGAGGATAAGGAGTTGGTATCTACGGAAGCCCTGGAGTACCGAGGATAAGGATTTGGTATCTACGGAAGCCCTGGAGTACCGAGGATAAGGATTTGGTATCAACCGGAGAACATTTTCTGTGGTTATAGAAAAGTGTAAAACAAAAAGAAAATATCCATAGTGTAATTAAATCTTAATCATATGCGGTGAAATAGGAGCAAAATATGAACAAAAGAAAGTATGACATGGGTAATCCTGAAAAAGTACAAGAAAAATAAAACCTGGTGTTCTGGAGGTGTAAGCAGCAGCACAGATTTGTGAATACTGGTCAATCTTAGTATGAAATGGGACGTTCCCAAGAGAAAACAAGGTAACAACAACAAAAACACAAGGTAAACTATCAAAAATTAAAAAAAAATAAATAAGAAAATGCCAACATGACGACATAGTCATAATTCCGTAAAACTAGGACAAAATATGAACGGAAGAATCATTTACACGGAGATTGAAAAAGTACACGGAATGTGCCTGAAGTGTAAGCGTCGCCTGTTTTATTGATGACACCCGCCATGTCAAGCTACATATCTTCCGTCCAAAAAAGTAACATATTGTAGTTGTGTATCGTTTGGTTTTCTCGCGCGATGTGTGATTACTTTATAATTGTTGGTCCAAATGATAGTTGAAATGTGTTGAGGTTTTCCTTTTTAAAAGTTAAAAGATTTTACCATTTGTAAGTTACTACTCCGGATGTTAAACACTTTGTGAATCTTCCGGTAAAATATTCTCTCATTTCTGACCGTGTAATATCGGACTGTCTAGGGCAATACAGCCAGGTTCGCTGTTCTTGTATTACACACACCCATGCAATACAGGCACGCGCGCGCAGAGATGTGACGTGTTCCTTACCGTTTGACTTAATCGTTTGATAAAATATGTACATATTTCGTTTTAATTTTCTAGAGCAAACTTTTCAATGTCACTTTTTTATGATAAATGATAATAAAGATATAATTTTTGTGTAATATGGGGTCCTTTGAAGTACATTGTCGATGTATGAAGCTATTTCCCCTCAATATTTAAGAACGGGAATTGAGAGAAAAATACTCACATGCGGCGGGGTGAAGGATGAGGTATTCTACCCTCGAGATTACAAGATGTGGTTAAAACCCTCTACAAAGTCTCGGATTTTAAATGTTGCGACCTCTCGTGTGGAATACTACTATCCTTTATCATGACATATGAAAAAGTCTTATAACATTATAAAAATGGCAGTGTTGATCCAGACACCGGTGATAACATGTTACATACAGGAAGTGTTGTCATTATCACAGCAAAACTACAGCACAATCACTGCTGTTGTTGCTTGTACTTAATTTTCTTCATAACTACTGTTCTACATACATGTACTTACTACTACATGTTTTAAATAAACTATAATCAAAGTTAAAGGATGTTAGTGTATTTGATATACGTTAGAGATTTCACATCATCTTCCAGCGTCATTGTTTTATAAATGTAATTTACAACCTTGACATCCGATATTAAGTAGATAAATTAAAATATACGTGTGAACATGTGCACGTGGTCGCTCTGAATGACTTTCTAAATAAACTTTGCGCGTGCAATACCAATTACAACAGCGCCCCCTTTCGACACTCATCTCACATAGGAGAAATTAATTTCAGTCTAATTTGTACCTCAAATGAATGAAATGATATATATATGAAAAAAATTCGATACAATTTTCTTTCCGTATGACGTACACATAATGTTTTATTTTCAACTAGTAATCTATCACAGGCCCCCTACACAGTTATTAACCCTGCACGATGTATACTCAGAACCAGAAATAGATAGCATAGTTATGGTGTATGTTACAATGTGTCTTTTCAGCAGACCTCTAGACGAAGGTGTGAATTATTTGAGACTTAATTACAACGGTGTCTCATAGCTTATTCATAGTAGACAGACAGGTGCGTTATTTAATAATCATCACACACAGGATACCCCGGACTTGTTGGGGTATATTTCTCCTGGTATAAGTCAGACATAAGTATGGTAATCTTTAAAACTTTATCAGTATGTCCGTCTGTGACCTTCAGGTTTAGATGTGTAGGCAACGTTATATTTAAAGTTGTTGGGTGGCGCAGGGGTGATGCACGCGCCGTCCGGGATTCGATTCCATCAACGGGCTTAAAAAAGCTATGGGTCACCTGACCGATCACGTGGGCTTTCCTCATGTACTCTGGTTTCATCCCACATCATGACCCCTTGCAAGCGTCTATTCGTGGCTACACGTAGAATATCGTGTACTTGTTACCATTTTAACGTTAACCAGCATGCTGTTCATTGTTATAATATATACATAACACAGAAAAAAGCTTTGCGGGTACATTGTGTCAAATAATTAAGGCATGTTAGTCTTATGTAGGAAGACATACCACCCCAAAAACAGGAAGAAAGAACAGGAAAAAAGATAATGGCCAATTTAGTTAATTTGATTAAGAAATCTTTCATCATCATTCCTACATGTTATTTTATCAGGTGCGACAGGTAACACAGACACTTGGAACGAAAGAACTAATTAACGACATGCATTTTTCATATCACTACGCATGTTTTATGGTTTCATAACACGGAACATCCCTTGGTAGTTTTTGTGTAGTGGCAATGCAGTAATATCAGAAAATTATCGCAGACAAGGCAATAAATATATGAAATCTTGAAGAATATTTAAAGCGACATCATAGTAAAAAGATTTTTTCTAACTGATTATTCTATCATTGCATATATATGTATATAAAGTGTATCACGTTATGAACAATGTTGATTTTCGGATAAAATATGCGCAAAAGGAGGTTAATTAGAAGATAACACCTTATTTATTGATCAACAGTCTGGATGAGCACAAACATCGTTGCCTTTAAACAAAAACGGCTGCCCGTCTGAATCGGTTGCGGCAATGTTGGCGATTAATTCGTAATTCTGAATTGACATAAAGATATAAAATAACGTTTGCCATGCCCATAACAAAATTCGGCGCTGTAAAACGGGATTTTACTGACTGTGTCACTAATGTCGTTGTCATTCCTACACGCCATCACGTGTTCGTGTTTACAAAATGAACTGCCTCGTTTTCAAAACTATCACTTGACGTTTTTCAACGCTAGATTTAAAGGGGTTTCCGGAACAAAAAGAAGTGGTCAAGCTGGACATTGGAAGTCGACTCTGAATATCTGAATAGGGGAGAAACGTAACTGGAAGTATAAAAAACACGTACAATCAATAACAAAAATTAATATTTTACCGCGATGTCCCTTTCACGGTATCACTTGTTGACTTTGTACACCACATAATCAAACATATGTGATCTTATAATGTTGGGTGGGCGGGCATCGTTGATTTTTTTCATGGAATTAGGTCACTGCGTCCCAGATATGATCGAATTATATCTGACCGGTTGTGGACAGTGGATTTCTAAGCTGGGATAGGGTCACTGCACCCCAGCAAAGATATAGTCTAGTAACATTGTGACGGCTGGGTATCACAGTTTTCTAAACTGGTATCATGTTTCAAGGCTCTAGACATTGTGTGATTTAAGTACATCATGACAATAATGACTGTTAACTCACTGTTTAAAACAATGGCGAATCAAACTTGTGTTCGAGAGAGAAATATGATCATGCCTTAACGCCAATTTTGTCGATACAGCTAGAAACACATATAGATTACGAATATGACATTATGAAACAATTAATTATTTAACGTGCCCACAATGTGAAACGATTGTAACCGAACAACATCAGTCAAACTGTCGTCTGTCGACACCTTAATTCCGAGTCTTGTCGATCTTACCGATAAAGATTGATTTCTTGCCCGCCTTTTAGGAACTCGTAATGCTATCATGTCCTTTCTTGTAAGTACCGGTCATTGTTCTGTTACAAGCCACTACATTTCTCTTTGCCACTGAGGCTGGGATGGGGCGTTTTTCACCAGATCTTAACTTGGGTAAACGAAATTGAATATCCTAATTCTACACAGAATTCATGTTTCTGGGTAGATATTTTGATACGACAATGATGTGTAACACGGACGGAATGTACTGTCAGATGTGTTTCATATACCTAATCATATATACTGAAGAAACATGATACTGTCGTTACAACAATGGCGTCAACTTTTGAAGGTATATTAATTTTTGTCAAAAGATCACCTCCGAACAATTTATATATATCATATGTATTCTTCAATGGATGTAAAAATAGAAATGAGTTTACGAATAAACAATTTTTTTTATTTTTTTAAAAAAAGTTATGAATATAAAGACAGACCAACGC